TTAGTTTTATTAAAAAAATATCAACGTCTTTGTTAACTGTTATTATTATTATTATTATTATTGTTGTTGTTGTTGTTGCTCAGGGGGGTAATTACAGTCAATGGAGATAAAATGAGGCTAACCACGATTTAAAGAGAATAGACATCTTGATAAGAAACAAAGCGACAAGCAGTTCGCCGTTTCCTGATTAGCCATCTTTTGTGTATTATTGCTTCGTATCATATATTATGAAATAATAGATTAAAAATATACAAATATACTTCCCTCATCACACACACACACGTGTCTGTGTGTCTCTCTGTGTGTCTGTATAGCATGCATCAGGGTATTTCAGCAGACATTGCAAACTATACATCCAAGAAGACTTAACGTAATGTTTTTTATTCAAACGTACCGATATTATTAACATAACAGTGTTCAATCTGACACAGGGTATGAAAAGAAGCCACCATTCTCATTACCCTAACCCCAAATCACAATGAAGACACCATGAAGATACCCATAAAATGGTACATTCAAAGTTGATGCCGTTTTTAATGGTACTTTTGGTTGCGCTCCCTATTAGGCTTCTCTGAAACAAGGTGGCCACCATATTTAAAGCTGGTATTAAATGTGCATGAAACTTGCGAATGATGACTTTAAGCAGTGAACCGATTAAACTAACAGAAAAATGATAATTACAGCAGGAATCAATTGGAATTTATGAATGGTTTCAAAATATTAATTACAACCATAAAAATGAAGATTGGTGAGAACGTCAGAGTGGCTTGAAATCGTGGCTATAAATTTAAATCGCTGTGAAAATATCTTCCGGGTAAACTCAAGAATCAACCATTATCAGGATGGAACGTGACAAAGTATGTTAGACATTTCGACGGTCGTTTCGAGTATAGAATCCAGAGGTTAGCAGTGAATATTTCGGAGCAAAGTAGGAAAGCGTAGTTCTTCCTTATTCATCTTCGCCGGACAAGTTGGCACTGGTCATTCGGGTAGGGTAAACAAAAATGGCTGCCTTTATACACGACGGATACAATGTTCTGCGGCTTCTGATTGGTTAATCTTCTATTGGTAGACTATAAAGGGAATTGTCATTTTGACTAACTCACTAGTTACTCCTATCTATATACACAAAAAACTGTAACAAAGTAAAGCAAACTGAGAAAGTAGAATATATATATATATATATATATATATATATATATATATATGTATATATATACACCCTTGTGCAAAACGAATAATTCCCTTATTATTTTCTAATTTTTTTCCTATTTTTCCAGTGAAACATGACCCAGTACATATGTCTGTACTTTGTATATCTATTCCAGGAAGTCTTTCTTTCCTTGCAGATTGACAACAGATTTTCGATTGGATTTACAACAGAAGAGTTTCCAAGCGAGTCGATGATACTTGGATTAGCTCACTGGTAAGGATCGCCAATGTGTTCGTGCAGCGTAACAATTTTCGTAAGCTTCCTTGGAGTAACGTCCATAGCAGAAAATGACCGTAGGACAACTAATCGACAATCGAGACAATAGTGCCGGGATGTGATGAAAATATGATGCAGTCACAGATGACGCAATATTTTTCAAGGTCAAATAAATTTCATCATACACTCCGAAAATAGATTCATATTACTGCATACCACTGCACATGACCTAATCTGAGTAAAAATAGAAATTAGTTACAACCTGTCACTGCAGTGGGTCTAAAAAAAAGTGTATGGTGAAAGAAAGGAAACTAAAGTGGTTGTTTCAATTAATTTGGATGAGGTTGTAATCATCCTAAGGTGCGAAAATAAGTAACATTTATGAAATTGATGTGTGTTGGAACAACTTGGTTTGAAAAGAATTAAAGGCGGAGAATTGGGTCACTACAGTTCACCCAAAATAGATTATGTTATTGATTTTAAACCTCTCTCTTCGTTTTTCTGATAGGTCGATGAATGTAGAAAGGTAGCCCCGGGTTTGGGGAAAAATGAAGATTCAGACACATGACAGGAGAGATGTTGAAACTCCTGAATAGCACGCCTTCCATGGAAGTATTATGATCACGGGGGAAACAATTGTTTCCATCTACCTCAACCTGCCTCCCTTGTTCTACAGTAGATAGCATGAAACATATAATGGCCTCCAAATTCAGAGTTTCTTGTCCTTTTCAACCACCTGACAATTGAGCGACAGCCCACAAATAAACCGGACGTACACGCGAAACTTCGTGCGAACATTGCGAAATATAAGTATCTTTTATATTTTGTAGATTTTCTATTACTCTATTGTCCATGTCACGTGGAACTAGAACAATCTATCCCAGTGAGTGAAATAAAGGATTCAGTTCGACATTCCAACCACCTGAAGAAGGCCGGAGTGTACAACGGACGAAACGTTGTAATAAATATGGCGACAAAGATGAGGACAATAGTCCGAATAATGTAAATAATGTACATAATACTTCATCTTAGAAATATAGACATATATATATATATATATATATATATATATATATGATTGTTTTATAAAACGATTATATATATATATACATATATATGAGTGTTTTATAAGACAATTATATATATATATAAAACAATTATATAGCGATTTAATATATATACATATATGATTGTTTTTAAAATGGTTGTATATATATATAAATTATATATATATAAAACGATTATATATATATGATATAAATTGATTACATATATATATATTAAAATTGTTATATAAAACGATTATATATATATATATATATATATAGATAGATAGATAGATAGATAGATAACTAGACTCGTTTTCGAAAAAACCCTCGAATTTTTGATTTGCTAATCAAATCAATCTCGAGGGAAAAAGGTTTTAAAAAAGAAAGAGCTACAAACATGAACTTCTGCGAAAAAAATCGCACAGATGCAGGTCTGAAGCCCAAAGAAAAAAAAACCTGATACGAGTAACAACTAACCAACAAAAAGAGCTCAATACAACCGTAGAGCAGACCTAGATACACTTTCCCTGACGATCCGTTTAGGTGAAACCTAGGTAGGTTTGTCTGGCTCACTAGGTGTATCTATATATATATATATATATATATATATATATATATATATATATATATATATATTCTATTTTCTACATATTTACTAAGCTTATTTTTCATGTAACACTATTTTACATCTTTCCAACAGATTCGTTTTCTTTTTTCTCTTCAAGCTTTTCTTCCTCTGTTGATTATTTTTCATTCTTTTTACATTTTCCCTCTCTTTCTTTCTCTATTTATTTCCGTGTGTAATCATGCTTTCATTCTTTTTCTTTCCTTCCCTCTTCTCTTCCTTGCGTAATTAGGTTCTTCTTCTTTACAACCTTTACATTATCTTTTCCATAATTTTTCTTTCTTTTTTCGATTTACATCACACCTCCTTATATACTGAATTTCGTATTATTTTTAATTCATTTATTTTTCAATATCTGTCTATATTTCTTACGGTACTTGTAATTGTTTATATCATTTGTTCTGTTGTTCGACACTTTATTTTTTTTTTATATTTCAGTTTCATTGGTTGAGTAATCCAAGACATGACTTGATCCAATGAGTTGTGAGTTCAATACCTGACTACAGCAGACGCAAAACTTGGAGAGTTGTGTTACTAAAGGAAATTTAACTAGAACTGAGATAACAAAAAAAAGTATAGTATGTGGAATTAGAACAATCTACTCCCGTAGAGGCACGGTGGAATAATGGATAGTGGCTCGTATTGAGGAATGGGAGAGACGAGTTCGAATTCCAGTCGAATCGATTACATTCACTTACTTGGGAAAGTTATGAATTCTCTTCTTCTCCAGCTATGAGTAAATAGCAGAAAAAACCATGTTCTATAGCCTTGGATAGCAACTGGTCTACTGCAGAAAGAAATGGCAACCTACTGCGGGAAAAAATATGTTTCGTTAGTCATGTGCTAATATGTTTGGGAAAGTTATGAATTCTCTTCTTCTCCAGCTATGAGTAAATAGCAGAAAAAACCATGTTCTATATCCTTGGATAGCAAATGGTCTACTGCAGAAAGAAATGGCAACCTACTGCGGGAAAAAAATCTGACTTACGAGAAAGATACATAATCGCCTAAGCGTGTATCACGTATGCCACATAACTGACTAAATAAAGGGTTTCTTTCGAAATCCTAGTGTATATCACCTGGTCGGAGTATACAACGGATGAAACGTCGTGACTGTGACAATAAAGATGAGGATAATAGACCGAACGATTTAAATAGTGTAAATCGTTTGTTTTTTTGTTTTTTTTTTACATTTATTGCGTTTTCCTTTGCCCTTTTAGAATATATTTTGTATTTTTTCATCTTTTTCTTTTTTCTTGATATTCACTTTGCTTTCTTTTTCTTTCATTCTCATTGTTCTCTTCTTTCTCCTAAATTATTATTTGACTTTTTTTTTTCATACGCCTATTTTTCTTTTGCCATGACGTCTATATTTAACTTTTCTCGTGATATCTACTCAAATCACGCATGAATCTTCCTTCTCCGTCTTTACCTCAATTTCCAAAACATTATTTTGCCTTTTTAGATTTGCTGTTGAATTCAGTGCTTTCTTTGCCCTCGCGAAAAAATGGCAGGGCATTTTTGCATTCAGCAGAACTGATTTCTTATCTGACAAAAAAAAAACCAGCTAATATCGCATGGCGTCACGTAAAGATGGTGCAAAATCTGGAATGTCAGATCAAGGAAACGGTTTTTGAGGGAATGAAAGAATACAGCCAAACACGTGAAAACGCCTGCTGACCAGCGAGATTATTTTCAAGTAAAGGAAAACTCGCTACAATAAAATCCGGCATAGAACGAAGTTTACTAACATTCTTTTGAAAAAGTGACATACGGCCATGTCACGTGGAAACCCCGGTTCTAGTAAGGTCTTAAAGTTAAGCAACGTCAAGACTGGTCAGGACCTAGATGGGTAACCGATTGGGAATACCAGGTGCCGTATGCACTGTAATTTGGCATACGGCCATGTCACGTTGAAGTGCCAGTTCTCATAAGGTCTTCGAAGTTAAGCAACATCAAGAATGGTCAGTACCTAAATGGGTAACCGCTTGAGAATACCAGGTGCTGTATGCACTCTAATTTGGCATACGGCCATGTCACGTTGAAACGCCGGTCCTCATAAGGTCTTCGAAGTTAAGCAACGTCAAACCTGGTCAGGACATAGATGGGTAACTGCTTGAGAATACCAGGCATACGGACATGTCACGTTGAAACACCGGCTCTAGCAAGGTCTTCGAAGTTAAGCAACGTCAAGACTGGTCAGGGCGTAGATGGGAAACCTCTTCAGAATACCAAGTGCTGTATGCCCTCTAATTTGACATAGGGCCATGTCACGTTGAAACAACGGTTCTTGTAAGATCTTCGAAGTTAAGCAACGTCAAGCCTGGTCAATACCTAGATGGGTAACCGCTTGGTAATACTAGGTGCTGCATGTACTCTAATTTGACTTACGGCCATGTCACGTGGAAACATCGGTTCTAGTAAGGTCTTCGAAGTTAAGCAACGTCAAACTTGGTCAGTACCTAGATGGGTAACAGCTTGGGAATATGTAGTCTAATTTGGCATACGGCCGTATGACGTTGAAACGCCGTTTCTCGTACGATCACCGAAATCACCACGTTGATCATGCACAATACATATCAATAAACAAGGTCAGTGCTGCTAAATCAATCAATATTTTGAAAACTTATTTCCTTTCTTTCTTGAACGCCTTCTGAAGCCTCTTGTTTTTCCTACGTTATTTTTTTTTTATAGATAGAATATGAATAAAGTAAAGTTTTGATTCAATTCTTATTAGACACAGGCGACACTTTACGAATCCACGGTTTCACCAAGAAATGGAAACATTTAATCCAGACTAAAAACATGTTTAAATATGTCGTTTTGTCCATGGTAAAATTTTAAATTTATTCATTGTTGAAACCGTTTGGTCTGATGAAGCAAAACTGAAATGTCAGTTTAGCGAAATAAAATATTAAGAAGTATTTCTAAAGTCTCCGCTTTCTTAATTATCATTTGATGTTTTCTTACATTGATCTCTCTATGGATCTATATCCTCTTTGGAATTATCTATACGTATTAACAAATAATTTTATCATATATTTGCTCCTTATACAAATAAGTTGAGCTCTCATCGGAATATTTCCTTTCGGATCACTTTATGAGTCCACGGTTTCCAAGAAGTGGAAAAATTTTACCCCAGACTAAAAAACATGTATAAATATTACTATGGGTTTCTATATTTTTCGCTATCTTAATTTTATACACACACACACACACACACACACACACACATATATATATATATATATATATATATATATATATATATATATATATATATATAATTGGTGTATACGGAATGAATTCCAATAACCAACAATTAATATTCTTAAAAGAGTGTTCAATACAAAGTAGAGCAGATATAATTATTCAACATCATCACTTGATAAGACACCGAGGGTGTTGAAACAAAATGGCTATTTTTGTAGTGATTTTATAACATATTTATGTTATAAAGTTTTTTTATAAAAATAATATATATATATATATATATATATATATATATATATATATATATTCTATTTATATGTTATTTTTTATAGATACAAGTAAATGCTATTTATAATAACAGTATTAATTACATTTACCGGCTTGAATATCCGAGGAATTTCGTAGAAAATATGTGTCCCCCGACAAGAATCAAACATGTGTCCTAAAAAAAACAGTAATTTGGAAATTGCCAAAAAACGCTTCTTCTGTAGGTGAGTGGTATAGCACGTCAGATCAAAATGACGGTACCATGTAGGAAACATGTTCTATTCTTGTCTTAGGACACATATTTTTTGTGTTTATTTTGTGTCTATATGCATTTGGTCAGGTCAGGCTTGGAGCCTGCTACTAGTAACATTGTAACCCAGTACATCCTGCCGCATGGACGAGTTGTCGGCGTCTAAACTGGCTCCCTCACAAGTGGATAGTGGTGTGGTGTGTGGCATGTCACCAGGCAGGACTAAAAACAAGACCTGTCAAAGGGCGGAAGAACTGCTAGCGAGTCAACGTCCAACTTGAAAATTATTATATACTGATACATCCCACATTTAACATTTATTCAATTATATTGCAACATTTGACTTTCATCGTCCACCTTTCACTATTCTCAGCCCGATCACTCGTTAAGCAAGGTCGAACCTGGTCAATAGCTAGATGGCTGATCGCTCTGGAATATCAAGGATTGTAAGGTTGGATACAGGGGTGGGTGTATTGGATAACGCCTCAGAATAAGAAATAAAGAGACCAGTTCCAGTCTGATTCGTTATATTTACTTACGTGCAAATGCCCTTGGGTAAGGTACGTATGCACCTCTTCTCCTCCCAGAAATGGATTAAATAGTAAAACTTCTATCTTCAAAAAATTTTTACAATCCAAAAATAACTTTAACTTTAAAAACTTAATAAGCCGTAAAAATCAATTGACCAATAATAAGACATAAAAGCAATCGATCAATAATAAGCCATAGAAAAATTAATCGGTCAATGATAAGCCATAGAAAAATCAATCATCAATAATAACACATAAAAATATCAATCGATCAATAATAAATAATAAAAAGTCAATCGATCAATAATAAGCCATAGAAAAATCAATCGATCAGTAATAAGCCGTAAAAATCAATTGATCAATAATAACCCATAAAAAATCAATCGATCAATGATAAGCAATAAAAATCAATCGATCAATAATAAGCCATAAAAATCAATCGATCAATAATAAGCCATAGAAAAATCAATCAATAATAAGCCATAAAAATCAACCAATCAGTAATGAGCCGTGAAAAATAATTCGATCAATAATAAGCCATAAAAAATCAATCAATCAATAAGTCATAAAAATCAATCGATCAATAATTGACTATTCGGATTCAAGACACTCCACTGTGTTGACAAATTCTCTTTCCTTTTTTTTTTTTTTTTTGATTTATACAGGATTACCAATTTCCTCTTCATTTGATCCAAATTTCTAACATCTTCTTTTGGTTGCTTTAAAGATGAGTGTTATACTTTAGACATTGCATCTGCATTTATTCTTTTAATCATATTTCTTCCGTCAAGTTTCCAAAGTCTTCCATTTTCTACTGAGTTAGGTTGGCGATTACCGAATTTTCCTTCCATTATTTCAAGATATTTGTCATGTTCTTTTCCGATCAGATACTCAGTTTCATTGTTTCATTTTTGTAGTTTTTATATGTTTTCTTTGATTTTCTACAATATTGTACAGTTCAACATTCCAAACTCGATTCCAATGTTTTATCTACAAATTCTAACTTTACCAAAAGTTTTAAGTTCATTTTTGTTTTGACAAACAATTTATGATCGCTATTTACATTATTCGAACTATTGTCGCCATATTTATTACAACGTTTCGGCCGTTGTATGCTCCCGCCTTCTTCAAGTGGTTGGAATGTCGAACCGAACCCCCCATTTCGCTCACTGGGGTAGAGTGTTCTAGTTCCACGTGCCATCTTTTTAATGGATGTCAGTTATCAGTTATCTCTATTAATTTTCCAAGTTCTCCACTGCCTTAACCGGGTATTGAACTCACACTCTTTGGGTCATTTTACTGGATGTAACCAACGCCTTTACCCACTGTTCCATGTATCCTTGAGGACACATGGCACAGTGGATAAAGAGTGTGAGATCAATACCCGGCTAAGGCAGTGGAGAACTTGGAGAGGGGAATTAATAGGAGATAACTGATAACTGGCATCCATTAGACATGGCACGTGGAACTAGAACAGTCTACTCCAGTGAGCGAAATAAAGGGTTCAGTTGGACCTTGCAACAACCTGAAGAAGGCGGGAGCATACAACGGCTGAAACGTTGTTATGCATATGGCGACAAAGATGAGGACAATAATCCAAATAATGTAAATAGTGTACATAATACCTCATCTCAGAAATATAGACAGATACTGAAAGGTCGAAACGTTGTAATAAATATGGCGACAAAGATGAGGACAATAGTCCGAATAATGTAAATAGTGTACATAATACATCATCTCAGAAATATAGACAGATACTGAAAGGCCGAAATATTGTAATAAATATGGTGACAAAGATGAGGACAATAGTCCGAATAATGTAAATAGTGTACATAATACCTCATCTCAGAAATATAGACAATTTATGATTATTTTGCAAATAATTTCAATTTTTGTTGTGTTGTTGTGAGCGTTGTCGAATAAAAAACAACAGCATAAAAATGGTGTTTCAGTTGTTGTTTATTTTCAAATAATTGTCGGGAAGCAAGTTATCAGCGTTACATGGTTCGATATTTTAATCGAATTTAATTATTCCTGCAGTCGATAATGATTCTACGTTCCTGCTTTAGTCTTTTCACAAACTAATGTTATTTGCACAAACCAGAATCCGTATCAGAGAAAAATAAAAAAAGATAAAATGCTCATTCTTAAATTGAGTTTTAAGTGGTTCAGTCAACCCAGGCCAGAAAACCAGAACTGTTTATTGTAAAAAGAAAGAAAATGTCTCAGATGCTGAATTTCGCTATTCCATCAAATCATCGCAACAAACTGAAAGAAATTGAAAAACTGCACAAATAACCTCCAAGAGAATTGTAAATATGACAGTTGTGCCCGCCATTGCTGAACACTTAAAATAGTTTCAATGTGTTGAGGAATTTAAAAAGAAATAAAAAATAAAATAAAATGTGGAAAAGCGAAGGAAACTTGACGCCATAAAACAGCATTTGACAGGTTTCATGTGCTTTGTTGGTTTTAAAATTGTCTCCTCTTTTAATCTAATGATTTGTCGGCCCAAATCCCGAGCAGTTCACTTTGGCTTCTGATTTCTTCATCTATTTTTGACTTACTACCGCCATTTCTTCTTTTTTTTTTTTTTTTTTTGCACTTCCTGATTAGGATGATCGTTAAATTCATTCACAGATTATGTAAGCAAACTCTTCGCAAAAAGTCAATATATATCTTTTTCTTATGAACCAATTCAAAGTTGTCTTAACTAGCCACCTTTTATTAATGATTCAATTCTTGTCAAAGTTTTTCTCCGATGTTTTGCGTAGATATAGTGATTCATTTGAATGTCGACTATTTTTACTGAAATGTTCACCCAACACAAGGTCTAAGAGTCACCCAAGGTAGTGGGTTAGTGAATTAGGTTTTTGTATGAGTGTAAGAGAAAGAAGTGAAGATTATGAATGAAGACATGAAGGATAGATAAGAGTTGACCCTAGACTTAATGGGATTATCATAAGTAATCAGAGAATCTCTCAATCTCTCAGTTGCGTTTTTATCTTCGGGCAAAGTGCGGCTCGGAAAACCACACTGTGCGGTGCACAGCATTATATAACAAATGCCCGAGGCTGCACTCTCTCATTGCACTAGATAGAGTCGAGGTCTGA